TTTTTTTTTAACCAAAAGGAAATAGCTTTCCCTTAATGAGCCTCAACATAGCTCTGATCAAGGTACTGAATTCCTCCCAGCCTTGGTTATTTCAATTACAAAGCAGGTGTTAACAGCAACAACCTAAAAGGATTACTAAGAGAATTGAGATTATTCACCCTTGATATGTCCAGTTACATGCCAGCCAGCCTCCATGGCAGCTCACGGACAAAGCCTGAGACTTGTCCAGGCTTACCCAAAAAATGGATAACTATAACTCTTAAAGTTATTAACATGGTTGCCACTCACATAAACCAATCCTGAGTCGGTTCCTATGTAGTCTGTAGGCCCCAAGTCCCCCTTGCTTTAAAAACCCTGTTCCATTGCTACTCCGGGTGTCTTCTGCTCTGCTGCTGCGTCAGACGAATGGAGAATCCCCAGTTAACTGTAATAGTAAAAAGACTCTTTGCTTTTGCATCGGTCTCTTAGTGATCTTTGGGGGACTCTAGATACAACACTCCCTTGCTGAAAGAGCTCTTTGGATCAGATGTGAATCCCCTGAGGATAACAAATGGAACCATGGTATAAAAAAAAAGAAAAAAGAAAAAAGAAACCTGTAAATATGGCTCGTTGTGGCGGCGGTGGCGGTGGGAGGCTCGGCAGCCCCCATTGCAATTTTTCAGTTGCTTTTTTAAAGAAGGAAGGCTCATGGTGCAAATTGTTATTTCCAGTACGGAGGCTGGAGCCCTGGCAGAATGGATGCTGGTCAAACTACAGGGGGAGATCAGATTAGCTGGAAACATCCTGGGAGACCTACATTACACCAACCACTGAGGGAATCTCTGTGCTGATCGTGGGGCATCACAACCTGTATGGGAAAACAATCCATCTGGAGAAACCTTTTGCAGTCCTTGTCAAATGCACTCCTGGGGAGCAGAACTGTGATGACCTTGGTCAAGACACTGGCACCTGGTACTTTTCAAAACTCGCCCTAAGCCTATTATCACCAACCTCCCCAAGAAAGTATGAAAGAACTCCGGATTATCCTTAGAGAGCAGCCAACTCCTTCGACTCGTGCTCCGTTGCCACCTCCAGGAGGGCTAGACAGTTCCCTGGAACCACAGGGAGAGCCTGTTATGAACACAGGCCACCCAATGGGTGTGAACTCAGATCCTTTCCTTATGGCAGCAGGTTCTCTTGGTGGAGACCTGGCTCCATTTCCAAGGAATCCAACTTCTTTTCCAAGTTCATCAGCCTCATTGGCTTCAAATGGAGCACATTTTCCTGCTGGTGCTCATAACCCAAGCACGGCTTCCTTTCCAAGAGGGATGAACGCCATTGGACAGGTGCAGTTTCTTTCCCAAGGCCAGGTGGCTTTGGGGGATGGGGACTAGGACCAGGACCTGGTTTAAACCCTAGAACAGGGGCTCTTCCGGGCCCAGGGCCTATGTCTAACCCCAGATTAGGGGGGCTTCCTGGCCCTGGCCCTATGGCCAACCCAAGGGCAGGTGGGCTCCTTGGAGCAAGTCCTAACCCCAAAAGTGGTGGCCCCATGGGCCCTGGATGTGTACCCAACCTGAGGGCAGGTGTTTTATCCTCTGGTACTGGCCCTCCTAATCCTAGGCCAGTGGGCCTGGGCCCTGGACCAAATCCTAATCTGAGATCGAGCTTTTTAGGTACAAACCCAGCTCCTAGGTCGGGTATGTTTCCAGGCCCAGGCCTGGGGCCCAACCCGAGAGCTGGTGGCCTAGGCCCAGGCCTTGGACCCAACCCGAGAGCTGGTGGCCTAGGCCCAGACCCAAATCTGAACACCAGAGCAGGTGGCCTCTTGGGTACAGGTTCTGGTCTTGGACCTCAAGGCTTAGATCTTGCCCCTATCCTAAGGGCAGCAGGTCTTTTAGGAGCAAATTCAGCTGCTTTCTCGAAGGCTTCTGGAAATGGGCACAAACCCACCTAACGTGACAAGAGTACCTGGCCCCGTAGGCCCAGGCACAGGTCCTAGCTCTCAAGGAATTGGCCTCCCAGGGCCAAATCCCTCTGCCATGTCAAGGGCTCCTATACCATGGGCTCTAATTCAGCTCATTTCTCAGGGCCAGGTGGCCCAATGGGGGTAAATGCCGGAGCCTTTCCACGCTTGGTGGACAAGATCAGGAGAACTGAACCCAACTGCCTTTTCTCAGTCTTCCAGCACATTGGCTTCAAATCCAGGTATCTTTCAGAGGTCTGCTGGTCCCCAGGGCTCAAATCCGGCATTTTTCCCAAGAGCCTCTGGGCCCTTAGGCCCCCAACCAAGCTAACTTTCCAAGGGCCTCTGGCCTGCAGGGTCTAGGTCCAGCTGCCTTCCTGAAGTCTGCGGGTCCACTTGGCCTGGGTCAAGTTGCTTTCCCAAGGTCAGCTGCTGGGCACCTGGGCTCTTCTCCAGCAGGCCCTGTGGATATCAACCCAGCTCCTTTTGCAAGGCCGACAGGGACCCTGGATCTTAACCCAGCTTCCTTTCCAAGGATGATGAATGCCCCTGTAGCCAAGAGTTTGGTCCCATTTCCTAGGGCAGGCAGCCTCCCTGGTTCAAATCCAGCTGCTTTCCCCAGACCAGTGTTTCCAATGGCTACAATGTACCCAAATGGAATGTTACTCCCTTAAATACCCTTTTTCTTCCAGGGCCACTCTGTTTTTCCAGCACTGTGGTTCTGGGCTGGGGCTGTCTCTTAGATGAAAGAGTAGAACGGAGCTACAGTCTGGAGAACACAGCTGGGACTCACGTTCCAATGAGCCTTCTTTTTCCTCTGCTTTCTTTCTTGACTGAAGTCCATGAGAAATGGACTGTGGCAGATAGGGATGATCCTGGCCTCAAGAAAAAGGATCTCTGGCCGTGTGTGGTAGAACCAAAACTAGCTCTGAAGTGTCACCAGAAATTGTTACTCGGGGAAAAGTTCCAATGACTTGAGCCTGCCACTTCCGTGTTAACATGATTTGTAGGATCTGAAAACAAGTCCAACAGCCCTCCAGGTTACTCTACCTATACATATCATTAAAAGAACTACAACTCTGCTTCCTCAGTTCTCTGTGTGAGACACATTTCTTACACATTATCTTTCGACTCATGTAATCTATTTTATCCCATTTTGCAGATGAAAACCCTTAACATCATCTGGATTTCATCCAAACCTACAGGACTTCAGATGTATGAGTTTAACCACTCTGTTCCCTGCATTCAGGGTAACGGGATTTGGAAGACAAAAAGCCACCTGTGGAGACACTGGATATCCAGTGTCTCCAGGTCACCTGCTATTGAAATGAAATGTTCTAAATTCTGGTTTCTCTTGCCTGGGATCTCTATTTGGGAGAGTTGGGGAAGGGATGGAGTGCAACCTTAGCAGCGGTTCCAGATGTTCGCCCCCACTGCTTTGCAGTTGAGGTAGCCATGAGGACCCTCCTTTAGGTAGGTATCAGATACCTGAGCAGCAGGAGAAAGGCTTCTGTGAAGTGCCTCTTACACCAGCAGTTGAGAGTTCTCTAGAGCCAGTTGCCCAAGCCATCTGCACAAGCTGGCTCTCTTCCTGATTCCCGGTAGCTACGGGAGGGAGGTGAGGAAATCCGTTTGCTGAGGAGAACCCAGCAACGTAGTATTAATTAAATTCGCATCACTGTTGTAAATATGCCCAGAGGCCAGGGTGATGAGTGCATTTTATAAATCAAATAAATGACTAATAACTTCTAAAGTTTGCTAAATGAAAAACTGTTTAAAGAATAGACATGGGCTGCACGAGAGTTACTCCTGCTAATTAAAACATGCTCTGAAAGCATTAACCTGATTGATAATCTAAATAAAACTCCGGTTCTGGGTGGATTTCCTTCTTTATGAGTTTTTTTATTGCCACAAGAGGTAACCACATGAATGTCATTCTTAATGAACTTTTTTTATACTTTCTGAAATTAATAGGCAAAAAGAAGCAGTGGGGGAGGAACATAAAAACCACCATATTTCTGATGAATTTCACATCTCAGACATTTGGCCTTTGCTCTTGCCTTTAGGGCCCACCCTAAAACTTTTAGAAAATCTTTAGCAAAAAAAGAAAGGAAATGGGTGGAAATGAAGAGAGGGAAGGGAAGAAGGAAAAGAAAAAAGCCCCTTTCAGACAGCAGTTTGAATTCCTACCCATGTGTAGGGATTACTGAAACAAAGGGCAAGATCCAAGGCCACCTCTCTGTGACCCTTGCTGAAATGAATTATTTATGCTTATGGCTAAAACTATAGCAAAGCATAAATTAAATTGGGAGAAAGTGGAGCTGAGATTTACTTGCAAACTTTTCAACATGTTATTGTCATTTCCAATTTGGGGATTATTTGAGCTGATTTCAACATCAGTTACTATTGACATGAGCACTCAGCAGACCAATGCATCCTCCAAGGTCTTGTGAGCTCAACCAGAACTTAGTTAGATTTTAAACCAACAAAACACCTACTACAGGGAACAATAGTTATAGAAGTAATTGTATTCTGCCTAAATTGATTCTCTTTGAAGTAAATGAAAAGTCCAAAACTGAGACATGTATCTTTTTCCCTCCACTGATACTCTGAAATGAGTCACAGTAAAGAAAAAATAAGACCAAGGAAGGGGAGAAAAATGGAAAGGAAAGGAGGGAGGCAGGGAGGAAGGGAAGGAGGGAGGGAAGGAGGGAGGGAGGGAGGAAGGAAGGAAGGAAGGAAGGAAGGAAGGAAGGAAGGAAGGAAGGAAGGAAGGAAGGAAGCAGACAGGCTGTAAATGCAGACAAAGGTAACTAGTCTCTCAGTCCTGTCCAACCTTAGCATCAGGGACAGACCCCTACTCTAGCTTTGAGCCCCTGTCACTTTGCTGTCTATAGTGTTATGAAAAGCTGTTGTGACTTTATATGTGTGCCATGACATGAAAAACTCTGTCTGTGTGTGTGTGTGTGTGTGTGTGTGTGAGAGAGAGAGAGAGAGAGAGA